TGTGATCTATCCCCCCGTCTATTCCAACTCACAGAGCCCCATGTGTGATCTATCCCTTGGATAAAAACTCAATGAAACCATACATTACATTTCAAGGAATGGGATATGGGAAAAAGGAAGTTTTGTTTAGAAAATCACAGATACTGGTTCAACTGCATACCCAACGAGATACTCAACAAATTTTACTGACTGGCTTAAGTAACTATGGGGATATGGGCTGGTAAAAAATGCAGAAAATTAGGAGGGTGTTTACAACATGACTCCACCTGGGGCAGAGAAAGGCTTACCTTTGTTTTGTTCTCCACTGCAAGCCCGGGGGTGTCTGTGTCTGGTGGGTAGGCCACGGTCACATAGACATTGTATGGCTTCACCTGCATTTAAGATTAACATGTGCAGCATCAGTAACAAAACACCAGCTGGTAAGCTGCCAGGAGCACTTTATGAATCCTGCTCTGGTTCTCAAAGGGTGGGAAGGCCAGCAGGGCACCTACCAACACGAGGTTAAGGAATTCCTTGACACAAGGAGCCTTTAAGTAATCTCTACTCTGGCACAGTGGAGCTAAGTTATGGTGGTGGCTCTGTGGACGAGTTCTTGTCTGCCATGAGGGAGACCCAGATTCAAATCCCAGCCAATGCATCTACTGTGCAGTTACTGCCCGGTCCATCCGTGCTGGCTTGTGTGTTGCTACGATGCCAAACCGGATTCAGCAGAGCTTTGAGACTAAGATGAACTATTTCTGAAAAAGAGTCAGTGAAAACCCTGTAGGTCTTTAGTTAAACTCCAATCTACAGCTGACCAGGGGACAGCATTTTGTTCCACTGCAAATGGGGTCCCTGTGACTTGGCAGCAAACAACAAAGACATGGAAACTACGTTCTCCTGAGTGACTTCCAATCTTGCTGACCAGGTAGAGAGTCTGGGAGCTGTCCAGTTAGGATAACATAAGGCTAAAAACCACACAAAACTCGGCTCCTACTACACAGACACTCAGCACTGGTTTCCAGGCCTTGGGAGCAGCCTGCTCCTGAGACGGTAATTAGGCTGCTTCTGATACTCTGGTTCTGCATCAGGACACACAGGTCAGCAGGATTAAGATGTCGATAGAAAAGCTAAAGAAACATTTAGTGTGTTGAGATCATGGCCACCGCTTCTTCTGTAGGATCTTGTGCCACCCAGACCCACCTGTGGAATGATACCCATCCCGAGAGGTTAACTCACCAAGAAGCCCATCTACATCCAGTCTACCGGGACCCACTATGTCCTCCTGAGAACCCACGATCAGCCACATGAGAGCAGCCAGCATGTCCCACCTGCACACTCCCTTCGCCCAAGATGGAACTCCACCTCACTCCTTGAATCCTAGGGGCAGGTTCTTCACCTGCCCACCTCACCACCAGACCACTGGGCTCCACACTGAGCTGGCCTGTCATTTAGTGCCCCATCAGGCCTGCAGGGGCATCTCCTCCAGCCACCCCTCCCCAGGGCACTGGCCCACCTGGTTTCTCAGTGACCACTAAGTCTCTGTCTTGCTCTACTTTGCTGTCGGCTCACTTTTTAGTGACCAGGAAAACGCGGAGGGTCGCTGGAATTGGAGAGGCGGCTGTGAGCAAGTGGTCCTATGATTATCTTCAGGAAGGTTCACTAGGCAGAAAAAAATAGAATTCTGCAGCCTAAGGGCATCAGCCTCTTATCCTGCAAAGGAGCCCTGGTGACGCAGTGGCTAAGCACTCGAGTGAGTACTAACCAAAAGGTCGGCAGTTCAAACCCACCGTGGGAGAAAGAGGCAGTGTACCTCCATAAAGATGCAGCCTTGGAAACCCTATAGAGAATTTCGACCTGTCCTGTAGGGTCAGTAAGAGTCAAAATCGACTCAATGGCAATCCTTTGGCTTATTGTTTCTTCTCCCCGATCTTTGTTCTCCCCTGTTTAAAGCACAGCTATGAAGCCACTGGAAGGAACTGGAAGGAAGGGTCCAGAGACGTGTGTAAGCAGGAGACCCTGCCCAGCCAGCCTGGATCTCACAGTAGCAAAAGGGAAGTGTCTTTGTTGGCTTGGCCTTGGCCCCCGTGCAACTTGGGTGTGCCGGAGCTCAAGCACTCACTGTGGACAGGACATGCCGCTTCAAGGCCCAGCTACGCCCATAAATAGCTGGGCTCTGCTCCAAGCAGTGAGGTTGATGAACAAGCAATTTTTCTCCCACTTGTTGTTGAGACAGGGACTGAGAAAACGCTTCTCCCACGGCCTTGGCCTCTGTTGTGCATCGACCAGAGAAAACCATCGCAAAAAAATGCCAACGAATGGTTGTTAGCCTCCTCTCTGAAAACTGAAGCTGACTGCTTAGACATGGTCGGTTCTTTACTGCTTACCTGTCTCTGCCTCCCATCAGTAAGGGCTGGGATACGGAAGCTAATGTAAAGCCTTTCAAAGCAGTACTTCTCGAACTCACAGTTATGGCTGAGTTTCCCAAAGGTTAAGACAGAGCTATTTGGAACGTTTTTCTTATGAGGAAGAATCCCAGATGATAAGGGTTGGAAGAGACCGAGAGGCCAACTGGTCAATCCCTCCCCGGGTGCTGACACTATCTCCCAGTCTGTGGTTGGGTATCTAGTAGCCAGCAATAGCACCACGGATTCAAACTTACTTATTCATCCAGATGAATTATGATTTTTTGCCAGCACAGAAGGAAGAATTTGGACAGGAACAGAGCAAATATACTCCCTGCCCTCACAGAGTTCATAGTGTTCTGAAACCTGGTCAACAATTTACTAGAATCTAAATACACTAAACGGTACCTTACGCTGTTCTCTATCAATCTTGTTCAAGAGCCTTCAAGTCGGGCCCCAGCTCATGGTGACCCCATAGTTACAGAGGGAACTGCTCCATTGGGTTTGCTTGGCTGTAATCTTTACAAAAGCAGTTCACTAGTCATTTTCTTCCAGGAACCACTGAGTGGGCTCCAATTGCCAATGTTCAAGTTCACAACTGATCTCAAACCACTTACAGTGCCCGGAATCCTGCCAACCTCATGGATCTGTCAACCTTACAGATTTGTCACAGAAGGAGGCGAGGTTCCTTCGGTCTTGCTTGTTCTTGGTAAGATAATGTGAACTCCTAGAAATCTCCTCTTTTGCGAGGAGTTTAAGGACCAGATTGTCACTAACTGGTTCCCTCTTCTCCCCTTTTGTCTGTTTCTCCTTGTCCTGACACATCAGACATTCTCTGTCCTTCCTCTGCTCCATGTCCAGCCCATGATCATTCCTCCCTTCTCCCTGGCCTTAGCCTCCTCACACAGAAAGATGACCAATGAGCCAAGGTCAGCTTTACTATCAAACCAATCCAACTGAATACACCTAAGATGACCAACACAATGACAAGGCTTCTCCTGAAGTGGAATAAGGAAAGTAAAAAGGAAATGCCGACTTCTCTTTTGTTCGCATTCTACTGCCAACATCTCTGGATATACACCACCCTGGAGACCTGATTTCCAAAGATACCAACTTTTCAAAAATCTTCAAGAGGTCTACTTATAGCTACAAGAGTCAGTTAGGAAAAAACAAAACAAAACTCTACCAAGAAAATGCTGCTTCAAAATGACTCATGATACATAAACATTGCTAGTGATCCTGCCTTAGTTTGGGGGTGGGGAGGGAACAAGAAAGGCTTCAAAGTTAATTAAACCAAAGAGGATTACCAAAAGTACTTAAGAGTTTGAACAGTTCTAGAAGGTTCCACTCACAGCACCTGGTAAACAGACAGAATTTCCAGGTTTCTAGACACAAAACTGCAAGCTTGCAGGGAAACAGGAACTTTGATGCAATTTCTACTATAAATGAAACAACTGGTAAGATTTTGATTATTGAATTTACTTTCCTCAAAGTCTATTTTTCACAGGACATGTTTTGCTTTGTTAATGTTTGTTGGGTAAATGAGAATATTTGTTGTTGCTGTTACTGTCAGATGTTGCCGAATCAATTCCATCTCATAGCGACTCCATGCCACAGAGCAGAACTGCCCGTGAGGTTTCCCGGGATGCAATCCTCACACGAGCAGATTAGACGTCTTTGCCCACAGAGCCTGAGTGAGTTCAAACCAAGTGCTTAACTAGGGCTGGCGCTGTAGGATAAGCACTGGGCTGCTAACCTCATGGTCAGAGGTTCAAATACAACAGCTGCTCTTCAGAATCCCTATACAGGGTCACTAGGAGTCAGAACCCACTCAAAAGCACTTAATAACCACTATGGAGGAATCCGGTGGCACAGTGTTAAGTGCTCAGCTGCTAACCGAAAGGTCGGTGGTTTGAGCCCACCAGCTACTCCACAGAGGATTCATGTAGTAGTCTGCTCTCATAGGACACCCTGGGGGCAGTTCCACTCTGTCTTACAGTCTTGCTATGAGTTGAGACAGATTTGATGGTAACAGGATGAAATCTGGACAGAACCCAAGAACACCTGCAGTTGACAGCACCGCTCACACTGCCATGTGGGGCCACTCAGTTTCCATTCCTCTTTATCAGCATCTCTACCGGACACGCAGTGACAGCGTGCCACCACTCTGCCCAGACGAATGACTGGATGCCAAAGGCCTCGGGGCAGATTGTTGACTTCCCAGTACCCCCTTCACCCACCTGGTCTCTAAGACCAGTGTGTAGTACAGAGCCAGGTGAGTCACAGGGGTATCACCTGCCCACCTGCCACCAGCAGACAAGCCAGGAACCAGGTGACAGGGACTTTCCTATGACTTCTGTCACAGAGTTAACATGTGATGCAGAGCAGTTCAACTGATCAAAAAGTGACATATTCTCCTCTGCTCCACACAGTTCACACAAAAGTTATAAAAAGAAAGTGGCTATCTGCAAAGGGATGTTTTTAAGTGAAAACTGTACAAGTAGTGTCTGGTCCTTTCCAGAAACTTGCCAGCCAGCACATGATTTTGACGAGGAACATGCAATGCCATCTAAGTGTTCCCACGTGACAACAACACGGAGTCTCTTTCTCAGAACTCAGGTGTGACATTGGACACATAGTGACAAATATGTATTGTGATTTGAGTCCTACTGACTTCGTTCCTCCACAAAATGTATTATTAACTCCACAACAGTTGTTTAAAATAGAAATGTTAGTAAACCCAATGGCGTTTTGAGTCCAACTGTGCCATTTCACAGAAGGGAAAACTGAGACCAAGTCAAATGACATGTCTTAAAGCTGAGAGCGAGACAGTAGCTGATTCAAAGCTCTTCTCTCAAACCCATGCTAATTTTATTACTCAAACACTTTGACTGAAGGAAAGTGTCTACAGAATAAACCCTCTTGCTAGCCTTATCCAGACTGACACAGTATTAGACCAATGGTACTCTGAAGATACTGGTCATGCTATTGTACGAAATTAAGCAAAAAACCCCAGTCTTTCTGACTCTACCACAACCATCTCAAGCAATGAGAAGAGTTAACTATATACAACTTAGGGGTGAAGCCAATTCACTCTCAAGAATGTCAAGTCTACAAATCCCTAATTGAACATAAAGATATATGCAAAGGGCCCCCAAAGCTAAACTGTTCACAACAAATACCTACAGCAGAACACTGGTCAGCCACAGAGTGTCTGTTGAGGGGACAGCGAGCTCCTGAGAAAGGTGGTGGCTACAGAACAGTGCAAACATAACCAATGTCACCGAGCCCTAGACATGGAACCCACTCAATGGGCAAATGTTGGGTTACATGTATTTTCACCACAATTAAAAATATCAACAACTAAACAGGTACAGATATGGCTGAGCTGGGAGGAAGGAACAGATACAAACTCACCTCCATCTGCAGAGCTTCGGCCAAGCCCCTCAAGGCAAACTTGGATGAGGAGTAGGCGGTGAAGCCAAACAGGCCCAGCTGTCCAGCCTGGGAGGAAACGAAGACTATCCTGCCCACGCGGCGCTCCTTCATGGTGGCGATCACTGCGCGGCTGGGGTAGACACTGCCCAGGTAGTTGATGCTCATTAGTCTCTGTGGGGAACGAAACGGCACTGGGATGAGCAGGGCCATAGCCCAGACGTGAGCTCCGCAACGGATGCCCAAGTGGTCTGGGAGCAGGATCGATGCGGTGAGGGGGTGGATGACTACAGGCTGCTACCTGGCCCCGCGCAGGGCTGCGTTCCCAAAGGACGGCTGATGGAGGAGAATAATGTAAGTTCCATGGACTGTCAGAAGAGCAAATAAATCTGTGTTGGAACAAGTACAGCTAGAATTCTCCTTAGACGGCAAGACATCCTCTCTCATACTTTTGGCATGTTATAAAGTAGGACCAGTCCCTGCAGAAGGACATCATGCTTAGTAAAATGGAGGGTCAGTGACAAAGAGGAAGACTTCCAATGAGAAGGACTGGCAACAGTACCAAGAACAATGGGCTCAAATGTAGCAACCATGGCAAGGATGACATAGGACCAGGCAGTGTTTTGTTCTAATGCACAGGGTTGCTATGAAACAACCACCTTTTGTGTGTGATTTGAGAACCCTAGAGAGTCTGCCTTCTGCTTTCTTGGGTTTTTTATTGTTCCTGTGAAAACGCAACATTTTTTGGTTTATGAAATGTTTCTCTATGTTCCCTCAGTGAATCATCACAGCAATTTCTATGAGACTAGAGGCTTAGTTTCCATTTTACAGTTGAGGAAACTGAGGCTTAGAGACTTGTCTATAGTCTCAAGGTTAGTGCAGTATCAACAGGCAGATGGTCACGGTACTAAGAGCAAGACGCTGGTCTTCTAAAATTTCTACTAACATCTAAGTGCATCTTTTCTGCTTCAGTCTTTTAACTTATGGACTACCCATATTAGTAACCACTACGCTACCAGAGTGGTTACGAATCGGGCTGCGAACCTTAAGGTCAGCGGTTCCAAACTACCAGCCGCTCCGCGGGAGAAAGATGAGGCTTTCTACTCCCGTAAAGATTTACACCCTCTGAAACCCTGTACAGGGTCGCTATGGGTCAGAACCGACTCGACAGCACTTAACAACAACAACAACCCATATTAGTAACATTTTTACTTACTTCAAAAGTGCTAACTTCCAGCTCTTCAAACTTTCCTGAAAGTGACATTCCCGCACAGTTTACAAGCATGTCCACTGGACCCAGTTTCTCCTGAGCCTAGAAAAATTGACCAGAGCCAACATTAAGAAGAGAAAAATCACTCTGAAAACCAATGCTAATGGGTAAAATCCACAAGACTTATTAAATCTATGAAATCCTGGTGTGGCACTGCAGGATAAGCACTGGATTGTTAACTGCAGGGTTGGTGGTTCAAATCCACCAGACACTCCTCGGAAACCCTACACAGGGTCGCTACGAGTTGGAGCTGACTCTTTAGCACTTGGCGTTATTTTTGTTAAAAGCCATCAAATCAGTTCTGACTCCCTATACAGGGTTTCTGAGGAGCAGCTGGTGGGTGTGAACTGCCAACCTTGTGATTCAAACCAACCTTGCAGTCCAGTGCACTATCCTGCGAAGCCACACCAGGTTTAACAACAATTAAATCTATATATGAGATTTAGCAGCTCTAAGCCACACGGTGAAATGGTCAGAACCAATCAAAATGCAAGTGAATTCATTCCAGCTAGCCTCTTACTTGTTTGATGACGTTCTCAACTTTGTTATAGTCTTGAGAGACATCAACAGATATACAAAGCACGACCTGTTGAAAGGGGGGAAATATGTATTTTTTTTATTAAAGACAATTCTTTTTCAATGTAAATTATGCTCAATTTTATAGTGACATGAAACAAAAAGTGTATGAACTGGTAAATGGAAAACGGACTTGATCTGCAAACTTTCACCTGAATTGCAACCAGTAAAAATAAAGAACGGAAAAAAGTAAAAAGCCCACTTTTGAATGCAAAATGAACCCTGATGGTGGTGTAGGTTAAGCACTGGACTGCTAACTGCAAGGCTGGTGGTTCAAAAGCTCTGCAGGAAAAAGATGACGCTTTCTACTCCTATAAAGATTTATAGTCTCAGAAACCATATACAGACTCATTCTGAGCAGGACTCAAATTGATGGCAGAGGGTGAGCTGGTAAAGTTGTTTTAAAAAGTAACCATAAACATAGTCATTTTTTCCCAAAGAAACATAAAAAAGGGCTGACTGTTCCCGTGAAGATCAACAGGCTCAGAAATCCTAAGCAGCAGTTCTACTCTCTCTCCTACTGGCTCACTATGAGTCGAATCATCGCGATGGCAGTGGCTCAATGCTTGGTGCTTGTTAAACGTAGAACATGCGGTATTTGAAATCTGCTGATAATACAACTGTTAAAAGTTAAATTTTCTTGGCAGTCTTAGCAGTGAAGAAAGTTTTAAATATTAAAAAAAAAAACTCCTCTTAAAATGCCAAATAATCTGCAGGAGGGGAGGGAGGACCGGACTGTGGAGGGGAGTTGGGAACAGGGGTTTTGGCAGAAATGTTCAATCTCTTGACAAGTGTACAATCCAGACCAAGCAAATCCACTGCAGGCAAGTCAGTTCCGAGTTACAGCAATGCGTGGGGTACGGCTGTAATCTTTACAGAAGCAGACTGCCACATCTTTCTCCCACAGAGTGGCTGGTGGGTTCGAACCGCTGAGCTTTCGGGAGCATTTGAACACTAAACCACTGCGCCACCAGGACTCCTCTCACAAGCATCTATACATCGGTCACAAGCTACCGAATGACTGCCCCAGATGAGAATGCTTTACTGCACATAAACCATACCTCAGTAAAGTTGTTAAGGAATACAGTGGTTCTGTAGGGCAAATACTGGACTGCAATCCACAAGGTTGGAGGTTCAAGCCCACAAGCTGCTCTGAGGAGAGATGAGGCACTCTTGCAAAGATTGACAGCCTCATAAACCCTATACAGGGTCGCTATGAGTCAGAACCAACATGACGGCACTTAACAACAACATCAAAGTTGTTAAAAAGGAGCCCTGGACACTATAAAATAAGCACTGGACTGCTAACCACAAGGTCAGCAGTACAAACCCACCAGCTGTTCTGAGGGAGAAAGATGAGGTTTTCTGCTCCTGGAAACCCAAACCGTATCTATACAGGGTCACTGTGAGCTGGCCTCAACTCATGACATTGGGTCAGTTGGTAAAGTTAAAAAGAGCAACAATAATCTTAATAACTTTTTAAAAGTAAAACGTGTTTATTGAAAACTGCTTTCATTCACTTATTTATATTCGGATATGAAGTAGAGATTTTTACTCAAAATGTAAAAGGATTCCCCAAATTCAGTCAGGACCAGGAATAAAGGAGAAGGCGACTTTAACAAGGTTTTGTTTGTTTGTTTTCAATATGTTTCATTTTTGTCACTGTTGAGCATACACAGGGTAGAACACACACTATTTCACCATTTCTACACGTACTTTTCAGTGACAGTGACTCAAATCTTTGAGTTGTGCAACATTCTCAGCCTCCTTTCCTGAGTCGTTCCTTACATTTCACAGAATCTAATCCTCTGAGTTGATGGTGCCAATCTGATCCAAAAAAGAGCATTCTTAGAAGAACACAATGCTCACAGGGGATACTTTGTACAGGCTAAGCTAAGCTATTGTTGGTTTTAAGAAGACTTCCAGCGTAAAGAGCAACCAGTGGTGTCTCGCTGCCCAGAGCACAAGAAAGCAAAGACGCAATTATAGCTCAATGGAATAATGGACCACATGAACATCAGTCTCAGTGACCCTGAAACCCAAAGAATTACCAACTGCTCTTAAAGGGATCCCATCAGAAGGACATGAATAGAAGAGGAGGAACATGCGGAACAATACTCAAATTCATTAAAAATAAAAAAAAAGGCTTACTGGTCGGATAGAGACTAGTGGAACCCCGAGACTATGGTCCTTCGTCACCCTTCAAGTCTAGAACTGAATTTACCCCCGTGGCGTTATATCCCGTCAAACAGGAGTGAAATCCCTAAGGCGGAACAATATCACTAAAGGACACACACCTGAGAATAACCCATCCTTCAACTGACAGCAGTGGGCCAAGGTCAAAGTTCAGAAAGCAGGAAGCATTAGGAAAGGAGGAGGAATGGAAACAGGAACCCCAGGGAGCATGTGCGATTAGTGATGATGCATTGTGGGGATTGCAGTCCATGATGTGAAACACAATGTGTCTGAATTGTTGACTGGAAAACTGATTTGCACTGTAAACCTTCACCCAATTCACAATTAAAAGTTGGTGCTGTTTTTTACTTCATCTTTAAAAATAAACTAACAATAACAACAAAAAAGAAGATTTCAGGGATATCTTTGGTTTAAAGATTATTTCAATAGTTTCAGGAGTTCATCTAGTCTCAATAGCACCAGAATGTCTAGATTCCATGAGAATCTGGAATTCTGTTCTGCCTAATAAATAAGTTAAACACAAAACAAAACAAAAAAACCTTAAGCAGAATCATGGCTGGGCCCGGCTCTGCTGTGATTCAGTACTACCTTTATTCAAGATATAAGTAAACCATACCTACTTCCAAAAGTCTCGTTAGCTGAGGTCCCTGTTCAGAGGTAAGCCCGGTGGCAGTTCAACTGGACTTGGCACACTAATGGTACAACCAATGGTCAATCTTGGCCTGGGGGAGCAGATCCTGGAGCCAAATCATAGCTGGTGCATTCAGAAGCTTAATATTCCTGACCCTGGAACTAGACAAGCTGCTCACAGATTCTCTAGACAAATGGTCACCAGATAGCATCCCCTAGTGTCCTTAACACAGTGCTCAGGGTTCACTGCACAGAGAGATGATGGGGCACTGCTCAGCCTGTCCTACCCCTGAACACAGCTACACTTAGCCTCAGCGGGATAGGAGAATGTTACACAACAGTGAAGAATGAACTACAGTTGACTCTTGAACAATGAGGAGGTTAGGGGCAAAGACACCCCCCAGAACAGTCAAAAATCCACAAATAACTTTTGACTCCCCAAAATCATAATCACAAATATAATAACTGCCTACTGGTGACCTTACCCACAACACAGTCAACTGAGACACAGTTCACACGTTACATGCAGTTTACATTGCATCCACATAGCAGCTGCGTTTTCAATACGAGACAGGGATTTCATCAAACGCGCACAGCTCTTGTGCCTGCTGGTGTAGCTGCAGTGACGGGCTACATGAATTTCCACTTGTTTTTTTACAGGGGTCCTTATGCTGGTTTCATTTGTCTCGAAAGGGTGGGCAACCACAGCTGCAGACCTCGATCTACGGTACATATTGAGCAATTCAAATTGTTCTTGTCCTGGTACGACTTCACTCTGCTTCTTGGGTGCACGTCCACCACCACAAGGGGTACTTCTTTTGGGTTCCACGGTATTATTAAAAGTTTACGACATTGCACAAAACACAATGAAAAACAAGCAAAAACAGCAAGAGATCCCTTTAACTGTGATCTGCAATTCAATGGAGAGAAGAATTGCTCACACTGAGAGGATGAGTGTGACACAGCATTGACACACACACGCAAAAAAACACAACTTCATGAATAGGTGGCTGCGTGCAATTCAAACCTGTTGTGCAAGGTGTCAAGTGTATCTATCTGCATGTAGCAACACAGATGAATTTCAAAAGCAATACTGTATAAAGCAATCAAGTAACAGAACGATACCTAAGAATGATGCCAGACAAACTGATAAAGACAGACAGTACCGATTTGTGACCACTAGGCACTTAACAACAACAACAACAACAGGAATGGGTAGGAGGCTGGGAAGAAACAGAAGTGATTGCCAACAAATACAGGTTTCTAGATATGACTGTGGCTAGGATTGCACAACTCTGCATACACAAAAAGATAGTGGGCTGTACAATTCAAATGGGTCAATTGCATGGTATATAAAAAATATCTCAACAAAGCTGATAGAAAAGAATGGTGCCAAACAGCATACACTTAAGGTTGTACTGACACGTGGTAACCACCCAACAGGAAGAACAAAGGAAGGTCGACAGAAAAAACAGGCTGATGGCTGCATCTAGAGGAGACAAAAGGATGAGCGGCTGTATAGCACACATGGGGCTCCAGCGTTCTGGAACATTCTAGTTCTCAAGTTGGATGATGTGTATGTGGCTATTCACTTACTATGCTTTAAACTGATGTGTAGTTCATATGCATGTGTGCTTGTGTGTGCACCCTATTTTATTCATTTAAAAAAAAAATTCCATAACCAAAATGTTTTAAAAGTATACAGTATCCACCAACCCTTTCTCCTTAAAGTATCTGTATGCAGTCTGTTTAAATAAATAATTGGAATAAAATAATTTTCTAGTAAAACATTCTGCAATTGGATCATCTGTATGTATGTGCACCAAGTCTATACATTTGGGGAGGGGGGAGGTGAGAGGGATAATAAAACTGAGTTCCTATACAATTCCAGCAATTTCACCTTTTTAAAACACTTTTTATTGTGAACTGAGTGAAACTGAGCAACTTTATAGTCAACAAATCCTACCCTTAGTTTCATCTCAATGATTGAATGATTGCAATCCCCTCCCTGTAACAACAGTTACCCCGCTTCCTCCCTGTCCTTCCTGTGTCCAGTCCACCCTCCTGCCCATAGCTTCTCAACTCTGTCCTTAGGAAAATGTTGCCCTTTTGATCTTGAATGACTGACCATTCCATGATAGTATTGGCGTGAACCACCCCCCACCCCATTAATCTATCTGCCAGTCCTTGGCTGAAAATTGGGCCACTAGGGTGAGTTCCTTGCCAGACAATTTCACCTTTAAAAAACCAGTCTCCAATATACATTTTAATTAGGAAAATCCTATATGCTTTCAATGCATTATTCAAAGTTGAAGTGGGCCCTCTTTTCCTGTAAACAGCTGCGGGTTGGTTGGAACAGCAGGTGTGTCCTGCACACAGTGATTTACCTGTTTGTCATTAATAGAGTGCTTTTCAATCTCCTTCTTGGCCTGCAGCAGCTTATCCTGAAAGCAACAGAGAACCATTAGCTCTGGTGAATGTCCATGTGTTAGTCTGGCTATTTCTAAGGAAAGTAAAATCAATTATTGGTTAAGTAGTTAGTAAATTCTAGAAAACAGCATCTGTCTTAACAGGCGCGAGCCCCTGTCTACAGGGGAAGGGAGCTATAAATAAGCCATGGAGAAGTGCATCTAACAGAGTACTGCCAAAACGCACGTCCACTGAAACCTCAGAATGGGACCGGGTTTGGAAATAGGGTCTTTATAGATGTACTCAGTTAAGGGTTGAGATGAGCTCATACTGATTAGAGTGGGCCCTAAACCCAATGAGAAAATCCTTTTGAGAGACAGACAAGGACACTGAGGCACAGAGAAAATAACTGCATCAGTGAAAGGTAATAATAATTAACACTAACTTCAAAATCTCAGTTAACAGTATTAATGAGTGTGGTTACCATACCAATTCTAACAAAATGTTTTGATCTCACATTATTCAGCTATGACAGGAAACAATAAACATGCTAACATGCAAAGCTTCACAAAGCTCCAGATATATAATTCCATGTCAACAGTGTGTCCATAGAAATGACCCTCAGATTTACTGCAACAGGGGTAGGAATGGTATAAAACTGCCCAGTATTTTCCTCTTCTATCATAAAAGTGCACAGAGTCCTCTGGGTGGGATCAAACTGCCAACCTCTTGGTTGACAGCTGAGTGTGCTGACCGTTTGTACTGCCCAGGAACTCTTAAAAGAGGACAGGAGGTAATAAATAATGAGTAATATATTTCTACGGAGATGATCTCTTGATAAAACTTGTTTCTCAAACTTCTTAACTTTTCTCAGGCCCAATTTCATTATTCATGGTATAAATGAACTATAAGGAAAAACACTACAATAAAAGGTACTCAGATACCCAATTCAAAAATATCCTAATTATGAACCCTCCATACCACATGGATACATTGATTATATGAACCAAAGGGAAGGGTCCTTCTGAAAGATATAAAGGTCTTCTACCCAGGAATGTCTCCATCGTTGAGTTATTGCTGTTTCTGTGTGCTGGTGGGTCCACTGTAATGCTTGCAGCCCCTATAAGCTGGAGCAGAACTACCCTGTAAGGTTTCTAAGGTTGTGACCATTAGGGGAACAGACTGCCTCATCTTTCTCCCAAGGAGTGGCTGGTGGGTTCGAACAGCCAACGTTTTTGTTTGTTGCTACCAATTGAGCACTTAAGCACTGGGCCACCAGGGTTCTTTTCTATAACAGATACCATGCTATTAATAAAGATTATGTACAACTTGACTTGGCCAAAACTGGAGTGAACAATTCCATTTGTCCATGCCAGAATGGTCTTGGGTTTATTCACCCCTGGTGATGTAGTGTTTCGTTCTGCTGTGCATAAGGTTGCTATGAGTTGGCACCAACTCGATGGCACCTAACAACAACAAACAAAGTGATGCAGAGACTTCAGTTATGAACACCTGAACAGTGGGTCACCCTTGCCTTCTTTCTCATGTGTCTTGTGTCAGATATCGGCGTTGTGTAAACCTCACAAACAATGCCATTTTGTTAAATGTGAGTTTCCATTCATGGAAGGTGACTTCAATGCCAAAGCAAATTCACTGTTAGAACAGTTAAGGAATAAATACAAGATAAGGAGCTAATTCTGCCTACGGAAGCAAATGAACCCCAAATCTCCAAGGAATGATGCCAACCTGCTGTCACCATCCTCTCCTTCAATGCTACATTCATTCATACATTCACAAGTACATTTTGAGCATCCGCTGTATGCCACGCCACCACCTGTCTGTCATTTTGTAGTGGCTCGTTTGTTGCCAGGATTGGGAAGCTATGCCACCAGTATTTCAGATAGCAGCATGAAACCAAAGGTAGACAGGTTTCAGCTAAACTTCTAGACTAAGCCCAGGAAGAGAGGTGATCTGTTTCTAAAACGTAACCAACAAAGACGCTTTGGGTCACAATACAATATTATTCAATACTGTGCTAGAAATTTCACTTAAAGACACAGAAACAGATTCCATTCATAACCTGGGACTGCCTGCACAGACAGACGGTTGGTACCTAGATAAATATTTGTTGAGCTGACCTGACTTCAACTAAGTCCTTGCCCTAAATACAAGAAGGAATCACAGATCAGGAGTGAGAGCAGCTTCCAGAACAGGATTGGTGCTAAGTCTTCCAGAGCAGCCTCTGTGAATAACTTCATGTAGGAGAAGTTCGTTAGCAGTCAAGCCCCGGGAAGACTCACCTCATTTCGAGCAACCAGAGTGATGAATGCTCCTTGCTTATAGCACTCAATAGCAACACACTTTCCAATGCCACTGGAGCCTCCGGTCACCTAAAAACAAAACAGAACGGCAAAGAATCTTCTTAGCACTGCACACTTCCCTTAGACAGAAACGGCCATCCAAAAGTGCTTGGTGGAGGATGCATGGAGGGGGTTGTAACCA